AAAAAAAATTTATCACACGCGCGCGCGCCTTCCCATACACGCGCGCGCGCCTCCCAAGGTCACCTTGGAGCGCGCGCCTCCCAAGGTCACCTTGGAGCGCGCGCTCCCACCTAATTGGGCACAACTTTTGCTACTCTCCACCAAATTGCGCGTAGATTTCACCTCGCTTCACCAAATCGCGAGAGAATTTCAACGCGCTCCACCAAATTGCGCGAGGTCTTTAACGCACCTACCAAATTGCGTTCGCTATCAAATGGAAAATAAATAAAAAAATTATTTCTCCGCGCCATGCCAACGATTAAAGAAACACTACAACACCGATCTACTCTCAACACGATCCGGTACCCTTTTCGACGTGGCTCCCACATCGTCTCGAGAGTGGGGGGCTTGCGAGACAACTCCCACGATGAGCCAACTCGCTCAGTACTACCACCCGTTGCGAGGTAACTCCCACGAGGAGCCAACTCCCTCGGGTCTCAACACCAAAGCGAGACAACTCCCACGAGGAGCAAACTCGCTCTGTCCTACATCCCGCAGTGAGACAACTCCCATGAGGAGCAAACTCACTCGGTCCTACAACCAGCAGCGAGACAACTCCCACGAGGAGCAAACTCGCTCTGTCCTACATCCCGCAGTGAGACAACTCCCATGAGGAGCAAACTCGCTCTTTCTACATCCCGCAGTGAGACAACTCCCACGAGGAGACAACTCGCTCGGATCTACAACCCCTTGCGAGGAAAATCCCACGAGGAGACCACTCGCTCCGTACTACGAACCCGCAGCGAGACAACTCCCACGAGGATCCAACTCGCTCGACACTACAAATCCGTTGCAAGGCAACTCCCACGTGCACCCACCTCGCTCGATAATAAGACTCGCTGCGAGACAACTCCCACGAGGAAAAAAAAAATCGCTCAGAGCGACATCAATCCGCACACTCGTCAGTCGCGCGTCATCCAATGATTCTACAACTTCGCTGCGAGACAACTCCCATGAGGAGACAACTCGCCCGAAACTCACTATATAATCGCAAGCTCAAGTTAGCACGATTACAACCCTAGAAACACTTAGAAATATTATGGGAATCTATATAGCCTGGCCAGCTTGATTACTCAAATTTATCTACTTGTTTTCGATGGGTCCTTCATTAAAACGTGGCCACGGTCCAAACATATTTACGACCCACGAGGTTTAACAAAGGGCACGATCCCCATATAAAAATCTTGAGAGCCTGATCCCCTCCTCAAGTAAATCACGCACAAAGCTATATGTAAACACATACAAGCAACGCGTCACAACATTGACAATGTCGATAAATAACAACTCCCACGAGGAGAATACTCGTTCTGTGCTACTACATTATCGCGAGACAACTCCCACGAGGAGATAACTTGATCCGAGCTATTACATCGTCGCAGGACAACACCGACGACTCAAATAACTTACATCGCGACAACTTGGTTGCACTACGCGCCAACGCGCCTTCACGCCCCTCCGACACACGCTCCGATGCGTTTTCGCACACCATCGACTACTACAATTTTTACTCTCGACACGATATGTCACCCATTTCAACATGGCCCCCACATCGACTCGAGAGTGGGGGGCTTAATGATATGCCTAATTGGCTCAACCCAATGGGCCTACAAATTATTTACCTACTGGGCCACGAGCCCAATATCGAAGACCACTATCACCGAGGCTCAATCACCTTCAAGCAAGGCTTGGGCCCGACAATCTCAACTAAGCTATAAATACACCTTTGAATTCATTCCATAAGGTATGTCCTATTAACTGAGCAATACTACAATACGTATTCTCTTGACTATTTCTATGATCAGCACGTCTGACTTGAGCGTCGGAGGGGTTTCCGCCGGATCAACCCCCGGCTTAGTTCATGTGTTCTATGATCGCAGGTACCTCAGGATCATCAAATTGTCAAGCTACTGATCTGCTTTGCTCTCCCAGTTCATTTTCTACACTACCCCAGGTGATCTAAGTAATTAGCATCATCACCCACCGATGTTTACATCTACCATGGACGCCCACCCAGTTACCGGTGGCCGTTGCTTCTCACAAGCGTCTGCCAATCACCCGGACCACTCTACACGTCGTCACCACACCACTGGCGACCAAAATCGAACGAAAAATGTGGTTTATTTTATTTTATTTTGTTTTAAGAAAAACCATAAAAACAGTGGTAAATTCGTGGAAATTGTTCCAGCCATGAAATTAATAACTAACTATAAAACATTAGCTTAAATGCAGCTTTAATTTGCAAAGATTTTCCTCAAATTTCAACTTGTAATATTTTGTATGTGATTTAGTGGTAGAATACGGAAGACGAGTAGGGGCTTTTTTTTACTGCGTTGGAGAGAGAGTTTTTTATTTATGTCCGTGATTCGGTAATTTTCGTGTGGGATTTAGGATTTCAGATTTATAAAACATCAAAAATTTCTATTTTTTAAATTATTTTTCTCCTATTTTTAATTTAAAAAATATATATATAATATAAATATAAACCACTAGAAAAGTCCGAATAGTGCATAGCCACAAATCATCCAACACTGATAGAGTGATAGATATCCAGACAGAAGACAAATATGACTAGATTTGGACATCTTTCGCGCCATACCATGAACTGCATTGGACAAGAAAAGCCCAATTGATTTTCGTTTTATTGCAATTATTATTATTAATATAATAATATACGAAAATTGCCAGTAAAAACTTAGGGATAAGGAGCTTTATTTGAATAAAGTCAAATGAGGAAACTTCGGTTTAGTTTCTAAAAAAGCCCATTGTATTGAAATAAAGTTATTTATGAAATATTGCCACTTGTCACTCTAAATGTGGATGGGAAAATAATAATAAAACTCGTTTAGCCACGAAAAATAGGCCTACAATTTGTATGAAAATGATTCGTTACCTACATTTTATATACATATAATTAGTATGATTGACAATTTTTTATGTTGGTGGATTTAGAATATTGTTGTTAAATTATTATATGAAATAGTAGTAATTTCCACTTTTCTTTCACATAAACGTTGCTTAATTTGATTTGAATTGTTAGAAAAGCAAAACATAAACAACTTGATTTGGATATTATTGTAAATTTGGTAGGTGTCCTTTAGTGGGAATTTATATTTTTTTTATTTTTTTTAATAATAATAAAAAATTAGCAAATAATTATACTAGTGTGACTAAATTTGATCCACCCTTGCTACAATAAAGTATCAACGAGTTCGAAAACACAACTTTGATTATAAAAAAAGGGGGTGTTTAATAATATAAAGCTTTAAAATTCATATGGCCATTTTAACAAATAAATTAGTTCAATAATTATCCCTCAATTACGTAACAATTAAGACGACTTTCATCTCATCTCTCCAATACTGTGTGCTTATTCCACGTGCTCAATTAATCCGTCGTCGTCGTTTCAAATTAAAAAATAAAAATAAAAATATTAACGCACCACGAAAACATTTTAATCATCGATGTGGTGGATCTTAAATTAATCTTGATTAATTAGGAACCAGTAATATTTAAATTTTAAAATTAGCATTAAAACTTATAATATTCATTTTATTGGATTCTGATTCGGATTTGGACAAGCATTCACTGAAGAACCAAGAATGCTGCCGACGTAGGATCCAATAGGAACAAAGGTGGTCCAAGAGAAATTCCACGTCATCCCATAATTTAAATTCTTATTTTCCACGTAGGACTATTGAGAGAATCGGATGAGTGAAGTAGAGAATATACTTGGTACAAGCAAGGAATTATGCTCCCGTATATGCGAATATCCCATTTCTAATTTCAAGCCCATGATTTTCCTACATTATTATGTGTCAATCAGGCCGGCTAAGTGAAAAGACGGAACTACCCCTCGTATATGGGTTTTGGAAATTGGAGCTCTTTTGTACTGTAGTGCAATTTCAATGACCTTTTTGCCCCTATTATTTCAGAAGGTTTAAGTTACATAATTCGAGGGGTTGAAATGGAAATATCTCGACTTTTTGGGGTTTGTTTTTTAACTTTCTATAAATATCTGAAGGCATTAATTATTGAAAAGATTGAGGATTTTTTTGTAATAAAATATTTAAATGCCGGAAATTTGAAAAATAAAACTACTTCAAGTACTATTCACAGTTTGGCCCACAAATTGTTGTCCATGAAAAAAAAAGGTTGCACTTTAATCTATTTTTATTCAATTTATTGATATTTGAAGCTCGTGGTCACGAAATTTTAGACTTAAAGACCTAAAATATAATATAATATATGAACTCAAATAATCCAATTCCCAATTTGAAAATGTGGCCATGAATTAATCAAATAAAAGCCAAAACTATCCTATCTCACCGGCTTTTGTGGATTTGGGTTACCTCAAAAGCCACTTCTCCTCGTAAGGTCAAGCAAACCATCATTGTCCAGCAATGGATAGTCGACTGATTTCTGCGTGTGAACATGTGTCAATTGAACAAATTTTGAATTTCTTTATACGCAGTTGTTAGATCGAAGTTTGTCACACATGATTAGTCTGGTGTGATTTACGTCTCTGATATGGTCTACAAGTTATTATACAAGAGTGTAGATTTATTTAATGTGCATCTATTTATATAGCTGACTGCGAGTTCTTTCAATTAAAAAAAAAAAGACAAACAAACCATCACAATTCTTACTTTCCATTTAGTTATTTTTTTTTTGGCAATGAAAGAACTTGCACTCGATCGTATTGAATGCACTTGGTAGATCTACACTTTCATATAACAGTTTGTAAAACATACGAGACATGTAAACCACATTAGGCTAACAATTTGCTATAAGCTCAACTCAATAACCTTTGGCAAGATAATTCGAATTTAGGTCAATTGACATAAACTTACTTACTCCAACCGCTAGTTCATCCCTTACAGGCAAAACTAACCGTAATATATTGAATCACGTATTTTATGCACGTGGTTTGTGGTTACCAATAATTAGATCCAATATTTTCATCAATCATGTTAATTGAATTAAAAAGGACAGTATGTACCATTTAAATTAAAGAACGACCCAAGTTGAATTAATGTTTATTTTGTTTTCCAATATGAGGGGCACTAATCACATAGTTTAAAAGATGCTTAGAAGGATTAAAATATTCTATAATTTCACCTTTTAGTCTATAATTGAAATAAATTGAAAGTTGGATGGCTTAAAATAGTAATATAGAAAAATACACCCACCGAGGGCTATAACCGTCATTCCACTAATTCACTAGCCAACAAAGTCAAATATCACGGTAGTGGAGAATAAAAAAGTTCGCAGGGGTATTTTAGTAAATTGACGTTCTGCTTCCTTTATTATTACAACCTTTAAATAAATGAAATTGAAACCTCCATTTTCATTTTCAATCCTCAGAAGCAGCAGCTACTTGAGAGAAACGTAAGCCGTTTTTCGTCCGTTTAAGCAAATTGCAAAGCAAAAGGGGAGAAAAAGCAATCACTTTTACAGGCGGAAGCGTAAATCCTTTCGAAACGCAGAGAAGAAGAAGAAGAGGCCGAGCTCCGGATATCTAAGGTAGAACGATTTCAGACATGAAATTAATGTTTTTCAGTTCTCGAATTTATGTCTGTTTCTTACATTTCTCGATTTGACGTTTTTTTTTTTTTGTGCCGTTTTCTGTATTTAATTTGTTAATTGTATGAGTAATTTTTTTTTTTTTTTTTGGTGTGTGTGTGTGTTTAATTTTGTGGTTAGTAATTAGGGCAAGTTCTTGATTCGAAATTAACCTATATTAGGTCAAGAAATCTGGGTCAATTAAACAAGACCGGATATCCAGTAATTTTAGTGGAATATTCTAGTCGAATCAGTTGTCTCGAAAGCTTAGTCACTAATTAAAACCTTAAATCCATACCTACTGATTATTATTTTTTTAACAACCAAAGATTTGGTGTAAGATTTTTGCATAAAACACATGGGATTTTCAGATGCCCCACTTGATTATTTGTCTCATCTTCTGTTTCCCTACAATATACTAATCCTGTATGCTGTTCTCGAAATCAAAACAAATCTTTATATGACAGTTAATTTAATCTAATTCAATTGTCATTCTCTTCGATTTTCAGGTCTGCCGATTCTCTGTTCCATACAAGTTATAATAACAAGAAGTTCCTTTTCCAAATCATTAAAATCAAATGGGTTCAATCGGTGAACCGGATCCGGAAATAAACCGAACCAAACCCCCGGGAATCCGTTTCATAGAGTCCGTAAAACGGTCGCCGATTTCATACAAGACCCATCAAGTCATTGTCCTGATAGTAACTTTCTTCGCATACTTATCCTACCACGCCACTCGAAAAACCACAAGCATAGTCAAGAGCGCCCTCGACCCGCAATCTCCCGACACGAACCTGAAATCGCCCTTCTCGTGGAGAACCGCGTACTCCCACAAGCCACTAGAAGCTACTAGAAACTCGTGGGTGCTCGGATCTGGGTGGGCCCCGTTCAACGGCTCGGACGGGACGGCATTGCTCGGCGAGCTCGACGTGTCTTTCCTTTTCGTGTACGCAATGGGAATGTACTTCTCGGGACACGTGGGCGATAGAATGGATTTAAGGAAGTTTCTGACCATAGGAATGGTGGGGACCGGATTATTTACCGTCCTCTTCGGAGTTGGATATTGGGCGAATATCCATTTCTTTTATTACTATTTAATCGTCCAAATGCTCGCCGGATTGTTCCAATCCACCGGATGGCCGTCAGTGGTTGCGGTTGTCGGAAATTGGTTCGGGAAAAGGAAGAGAGGCCTTATAATGGGTATTTGGAACGCTCATACGTCCCTCGGCAATATTACGGGCTCTGTTGTTGCTTCGGTTTTGTTGAAGTACGGATGGGGTTGGTCAATGGTGGTCCCCGGTTTGGGTATTGCGTTTGTCGGTGTTATGTTGTTTTGCTTCTTACCGGTTAGCCCCGATGCGGTTGGAGCTAGTGTGGACGATGATGATGAGGATGAGTTGAAGAAAGAAGGTGGGGAAATTACGGAACCTTTGTTGAGAGCAAAGTCCGACGATAGGGGCGCCGTAGGGTTTCTAGAAGCTTGGAGAATCCCCGGGGTTGCGCCGTTTTCGCTATGTCTTTTCTTCTCGAAATTGGTCGCCTATACGTTTCTCTATTGGCTTCCGTTCTATATTAGCCACACTGGTATGTTAATTTCCCAATTACTCCTTCCGTTCCATTGTTTAAGGTTTTTGCACGCATTTTAAGAAAATTATTAAATAACCTTTACCATTTAATTGGTGATTAGAGAGACTTAATGCGAGCCGAATTAGTAAGGGTAAAACAGGGAAAATGCATTTTCTTATTTGATAATATGTAACGGAGGGAGTAGTTCTTTTCGTAGTTATTATATGTCTATATATGTTATTAATGTCACTTACCTAACTAAATTGATTTTTGAAAAAAATGCAGCTATCGAAGGGAGATACTTATCGAACGAAGAAGCCGGGAATCTATCCACACTATTCGATGTCGGAGGTGTGGTCGGAGGAATCTTAGCGGGCCACATTTCGGACCGTCTAAACGCGAGGGCAATAACGGCAGCAAGTTTCATGTACTGCGCTATACCGGCTCTCTTCTTCTACAGAAACTACGGCCACGTTTCCATGACGCTAAACATCATACTCATGTTGATAACGGGGATGTTTGTGAACGGGCCCTACGCACTTATCACGACAGCTGTCTCGGCAGATCTCGGGACCCACAGCTCGTTGAAGGGCAACCCGCGGGCCTTGGCTACTGTGACTGCTATTATTGACGGAACGGGCTCGATCGGGGCTGCTATCGGGCCTTTGCTTACGGGCTATATTTCGGCCAAGAGCTGGAGTGCGGTATTTACGATGCTGATGGGGGCGGCTCTTGTGGCGGGGTTGCTTCTGACTAGGCTGGTTGTTGCTGAGGTGGCGGCGAAGATTCGGGGGCCGGAGGAATGTTCTAGAACGAGGCCGGCTCGTGTGGTGGAAGTATGATTTGCTCTGTAATGCAGGAAAAGAAGGCGGTTTTATTAATCCTTCGTGATCCGAAAATTCTGATGGGATCAACTGCTGCTGATTCTTGTAATTGTAAAACATGGCATTATTGTAAATTGTTGTATGCATATGGGATTTTATTCTTTATCCCCACCAAGAAATGGCTTTTTAGAGGAACTTGTTATAAAAATTCTGCAGATTTTATCAGTTGGTTTTTTTTATATATATATATATTATTATTTATTTATATAATATTAGGCCAAATTATGGTCACACATAAGGTACGACTAAATTATGAAAAACCCCTCTTGTTTGGGTAATTACAGCCCACCCCCTCCCTTTTAAATATTTTCACATAAAATTTATGTAATTTGGTTAATTACCGAACCAAATAGTATATTCAGTTCGGTAAAATGTATGAAATGTTGGCGTACCGAAATTTTGGTTCGGTTTTACTGATTTAACATCACTAAATTTACCTCTTGAGGGGTATTTTCGTAAGATAATACATATTTAGGGGGTTACTGTAATGATCCAAATAAAATATGAATTTTCGTAATATGACAATAAATCGTAGTGGCCATAATTTGTCCTATAATATTATTATTATTTGAAAATTTGAAGATTTATTATAGTACATGAAATAACTCTATAAGGAATATATGTTGCATTATCTAACTTACACCAATACATATATAAAGTTTGTACTTTCTTTTTTCTTAAACACTTGTCTAGTAGATAAATATGATTTATTATAGGGTAAATTCCACTTTACCCCCTCGTACTCTGCCTGAGAGTCACTTAACCCCCTCGTACTCTCAATTTTCTCGATGTACCCCCCTGTACTCGTACAATTTCCCAATACAGCCCTCTCCGTTAACTTTTTTCAATTTTGACTCTGACGCCGTTTGGTCAACTCTGTAAATTACAAAATTGTCACTGCCTAAACATCGTTCCTTCTCATGTGAACATTATCGTTTCTTCTTC